TGTAACTCACAGTGCTTTAATGAAGAAACAATCAGGAAAGTGTTTAAAATTCAATATGAAACATTAAATTAGCTTCAAGCGGTTTTAAAAAAAAATCACCGTCACTGTCACTGTCCTCCCACTGTTCATGGATTTGCTCAAGCGGGCCCAGTAATGTCTCCATTTTGAGACTTGTCGTTACTGTATTTGGCACCTCAAATACATCACGGGTAGCTTGCCAGGCTTTGCCATGCAGGCAGGATACTCTCGGTAGCTTGCCGGGCTCTCTAAGAGGGGCAAAGGAATTGAGCCCTTTGAAAAAAATAATCAAGCAAAAACAGAAGCAAGGGGGGCTGGAGCAATAGCACAATAGGTTGGGTGTTTGCCTTGTACACAGCCGATGCAGGTTCAATTCCCAGCATTGCATAAGGTCCTCAGAGCACCGCCAGGAGTAATTCCTGAGTGCAGAGCCAGGAGTAACCCCTGTGCATTGCCGAGTGTGACCCAAAAAGAAAAAAAAAAGCAACAACAACAACAATTAAAGAAAAACACAGAAGCAAGTTCCAAGTGCCTGTTGCATCCGCCCCTCCCCAGGTTACACACGAGTTCCTGTGGTTCCACATGCCCATTTCCCTTGTCAGTGGTCCCGAGTCTGGCCATGCTCAGTGACCATGCTCTCACTTTGTTATTTTCACACTTCCCTGATGGAACAGGGGATGCGGCACCTTTTCATGTGCTTTTATTTGCTTTGATAAAATACGCCAACGTTAAACAGCCCGGTTGAACCATTTAACCCAACACTTGCATGTGCAGGTCTATGGCATCATTCACGTGGCTGTGCCCCTATCACCACTGTTCACTTCTAGAACTTTCCTTGTCCCTCATCGAAAACTGCATCATTCATCTCTGACTCCCACTCCTGCCTTCCTCGGCCCTGGCAGCCACACATCGTTCTGTCTGCCTCTAGGGATTGGTCTTCTCTCTCTGATGAACCCTGGGGGAAAAAACCTCTTCCGAGGTGAAGCTGGTGACCCCAACATCCGTCCGTGGTGCTGGGAATGGCCACCAAGCAGCAGCCAGCCCTGACCTTTGCCTCTGGCCGACTGCTCAATATCCGCCAGATTTCTTTTCCTGCTCCCGGCGACTGAACCCAGGGCCTCTCCCGGGTGAGACCAAAGCTTGATCACAGAGTCACACCCCAGGCTGGATGTCCGCTAGCTAGCGTGTCCCTCTCCTAGAAGCCCTCCCTGCCCTCAGAGCCTGACAAGGCCTGGCTAAGAGATCGTCCCCGAGTTCCTTGTCTGTCCCCGGGCAAGCGCCGTGAGAACCAGGGCCTGATGGCACCAGGCGAGGACTTGTCTCAGCTCCCTCCTCGTGTTAGGACGAGTGACCGCACGCAGGGGCTGAGAACAACACGGATGTCTTCTCCCAGAGTTCAGGAGGTCAGAAGTCCTCACTCCATCTCAGGGGAACACACAGCCAGGTCCCTTCTCAGAACTCCTGGGCCAGGGGCAAGAGCAATAGGATAGCGGGTAGGGTGTTTGCCTTGCGTGCTGCCTACCTGGGTTCGATTCCTGGCACCCCAAAAGGGCCCCCTGAGCAGTGCCAGGAGTAATTCCTGAGTGCAGAGCTAGGAGTGACCCCTGAGTATCACTGGGTATAGCCCCAACCCCCCCCCCCCAAATATAACAACAACCACAAAAACGTCTGGGGTCAGGGCTGGAGCGATAACACAGCGGGGAGGGCATTTTGCCTTGCACTCAGCCAACCTGGGTTCTATTCCCAGCATCCCATGTGGTCCCCCCGAAGCACCGCCAGGAGTAATTCCTGAGTGCGGAGCCAGGAGTAGCCCTCGTACATCGTTGGGTGTGACACCCCCCCCCAAAAAGCAAAATTGTCTAGATTGCCTCTGTACCATACCTTACCCTCTCCCCCGCCCTTGAGCCAGCCTGACCCTGTGTTGGCATCACTTCTGGTTGGCATCACTTCTGGCATCACTTCTGCTTCTCTCTTCCCAGTTCTAGGGATCCCTCTGGGGCATGGTTCCTCCCTCATACCCACCCTCAGACCCACTGTGGTTACAGGGATCCACCCAGCTGATTCAGGAAATCTCCCTGTTTTAAGATCTTTCCTCCTACACATCTGTGGCGTCCGTCTGGGCCAGGTGAACACTGGCATGGGGAATAGGACTGTGGGCATTTGTGGTGCCCGGGCATGAGGTTGATATCATTCTGTTTAGCAGCAGGCCGCATACATGCTTGTTGAATTGCAGGGTCCTGAGTCCTGGCTCCTGAGCCTGACTCAGACACTTCCTGATTGTAAGATTTCGGACAACCCCCCCACGCCACTTGCTTGGAACCTCAGTTTCCTCCGTGAGAGACATTCTGAGCAGCCCCCCCCCCCCACCACGTACCTGTGGGAAATGGGAAATGATAACCGAGTTTGCCTTCTGGGGAGGGAGCGAAAGACGCCCTGAGGTAGCCCACTCAAGGTCACTTAGGTCACCCCGAGAACTTTGAGTTGGGGCCCCAGAGGGTGGGCGTGCTTACCTAGAAGGTGACGTTTCAAAGGGCTCTGGACAAGCGTGGGCGTTTGTGTGGTAGAGAAGTGGAAAGGGCCTGTGACCAGGGACAGGACTGAAACGATTTTTGAGGAACTGTGAGGGCTGTGATGTGATGTGACGCCTTGGGGGAGGAGAGAAATGTGGTGGTGTTTGGGGGCTGGGGGGGCACCTGAGGGCCAGAGTTGGGACCTGGGATCTGAACTAGGGTCGGGAAGGGGCTAGGGCTGAGCACGGAGGAAGGAGAAGGGTGCTGTTCTGTTTTTTGGTTTTGTTTTGGACCGTACCTGGCAGTGCTCGGGGAATACCCCTGGCTCTGTGCTCAGGGACCACTCCTGGTGGTGCTTGGTGGACCATATAGGAGCCAGGGGTTGAACCTGGGTCAGCTACATGCAAGACAGTTGCCTAAACTCCTGCACTGTATCTCTGGTCCAAGAGCATCATTTTTCTTCCCTTTTTTAAAAAATTTATTTTCATAAAGTTGTTCACAATAATGGATTACATTCAACATTTCGACACCAGTCCCACCACCATTACTTTGAATTTTCCCGCCACCACTCAAACCTGCCGAAAAGGCAGATGCTAGGTAATCTATGTATTTATTTATTTATTCCTTTTCAATTTTTTAATTTTTATTTTTTAAATTTTTTGTAATGAAATACAGTTACAGGTTTACAAACTTTTCTGATTACGTTTTAGTCATACAATGATCGAGTACCCACGCCTCCACCAGTGCCCATTCTCCACCACCAATGTTCTCAGTATACCTCCCGCCACCCCACCCCGCACCCCATTCCCCCTGCCTCTGTGGCAGGCACATTCCCTTTAACTCCCTCTCTCCTTTTGGGTGTTATGGTTCACAATCTGGGCACTAAGTGGCCATCATGTCATGTTCGGTCCATAGTCTACTTTCAGCACACATCTCGCATCCCGGAGCGAGCCCTCCAAGCATCATTTACAGTGGTCCCTTCTCTATCTCAGCTGCCTTTTCTCCCAGCATGTGAGGCCGACTTCCAAGCCATGGAGTGATCCTCCTGGCCCTTATCGCTATACTAACCTTGGGTGTTGGTCTCCCATTCTGTTACTTTATATTCCAAAATGAGAGAGAAGAGCATCATTTTGATCCTGGCCAGCACTCAGCAGAGAGGGAGGAGGGAGTGGAGCGCTCTGAGACCAAGCCCCAAGGGAGGTGACCTGGACAGGGACTTGGAGAGAAGGGGGACGGATCTTGTTGAATATTGAATGCTGTAACAAATCATCATGAACAACTCTGTAAACTACAGAGTTTACACGAAGTGTAAGGGGAGCATTTACATGTGTAGGTCTTACCTATTTCATGTAAAAAGAAGGAGGAGGAGGAGGAGGAGAAGGAGGAGGAGGAGGAGAAGGAGAAGGAGGAGGAGGAGGAGGAGGAGGAGGAGGAGGAGGAGGAGGAGAAAGAGCAGGAGAACAAGAAGACCAGTCCGAGAGAGAGTTGAAAGAGAGAGTTGGGGACCAGAATTGGTGCCACAGCTGACAGATGGAGAAGGGAGTCCGGGAAGCACTGGGAGGTTCTGGGAAGGGGGGTGGATGGGCCAAGTGGAAGTTCACAAAGACAGAGAGACCTGGGAGCTGGCAGCCCCAGCACAGGCTGGTGATGGGCCAAGAATCAGAATCGTACCCAAGGGATGGTCCCTGAAGGGAAACATCTCTGGGGTCCCAGACGGGCCTCAGTTCCAGCGGAGACCTTAGGCTGTTTTCCTACTGGCTCTTGTTCCCACTAATCACTGAGTCAGCCCCAGGCTCCAGGCAATGGCTCAGTGGCAAAGTGCCTGGTTGTGAGCTTGGGGCTATGACCCCCAGTGCCGCCCTCCTGCACCAAGCCTGGTGCACCAGCAGCTCCCCTTAGGGGGATCCCCTGCCCTACCGCAGGCGACATCTCCCCCCCCACAAACACACATGCAGATAACGAGCATGTCCAGCCCCTGGGAAAGTCACCATCAAGCCAGGGGGAGCCGAGTCATCACAACTGGCCACCTAGGGATAGAAGGATGGGGGTAAAATCAGCCTCTACACCACCACCCCACTTGCAAGACGGGAAGGGATCCCCTAGTTTTCCAGAGACACGGCCAGGGCTGTAGGGTAAGCAGAGCCAGGGCGCAGGCAGCCAAGAGGCCCAGCACCGGGGCCGAGTGGGGGGGATTTCTGCAGCCTCCAGGGACCCAAACGTGGGGTCCCCCTGTGAGTGGTTCCTGGCCACAGAGAATTTCCTCCTGAGTGGAGGAAGTGGGAGTTCTCATTTCAGAACTTGAATGTCAGAGGTTCTGGCCTCACCGGTGACTAAGAGGCGCAGAAGCCTACGACAAGCCCTTAAATACGGGACCGTCCTGCCACCTCCGAACATTGCAGCCACTGGAGCTCTGGGACATCAGCCCTGGCACATCAGCTGAAAGACATCAGCCTCGGGAACCTCTGTCGGAACATGGCCACTCAGCACACCTGGCTCCTGGCCACCTTGGCCCTCCTCGCTGTGGTCCTTGGAGTGACTGAGGCTGGTGAGAGTGGGGAGAGGGAGGCTTGGGGGTCTTCCTGGCTGGGGAAAGCCAACAGCTAGTTCTTGGCTTTGTCACGTCGTTTCTCTGGGCCTCGGTTTACTGACCTGTTCAAGGGGCATTTTGAAGACTCAGGGCCTCTCTCGGCTGTGTCTCAGATTGATTGGAACTAGGGTGGATCTGGCCGGGGTCCCCAACTCTAGGAAATCCGCACATAGGGCACTGGTGAAAAGGAGGCACCAAGCGGGACTGGCGCTGATGGTTAGAGGCAGGAGCTGGGGACAGAGGCTTTCCTGGGAAGCAGGACCTGCCCTTCCATCACCCCACCTTTGCCCAGGACCTGCCCTCAGCATTGGGCTCTCGTCCCCTGTAAAAGCCCTGGCCCTGAGCCAGGTGATGGAGCCGGGAGTCAGCAGCTGTGAGGAGCGATCGCTCTTTGCTATTGGGGTTCCTGCCTGTTTTCCCTGCCTTGACATCCCCAGAGGACTCCAGTCAGAACCAGAAGCTGCTCTCAGAGAGGGTAGCTGACCCATTCTAGGCAGAGCCCAGGGGTCCAGCTCAGCCCCTGTAGGGCAGGACTCTACCCACACAGGCAGAATTGGAGCTGAAAGAACCTTCTAGAACTCCTGGCACCTCCACCGAACACACCCTCTGGGGTGGCGGTTGTCCGCTCCCATCGGAAACTCTGGGTGGCCTTGATGGTGCGGGAGCCTGAGTCCCCGGCCACAGAGCTGGCCACAGAGTGGGACGCTGCATCCTCCGGGGACCGGGGAGTGGGGATCTCAGGGTCAGGACACTATGGAGCCCAAGTTGGTCACAGCTCTGGCAGGCAGGGGTGGCGGGGGCTGCAGGGAAGGTCTCGGTGGCCCTGCCCCTGAGCACCCCTCTCCCCCAGGCCCCTACGCCGCCAATGTGGAGGACAGCACCTGCTGCAGGGCCTACACCCGCCGCCCGCTGCCCTTGGTCGCCGTGAAGGACTTCTACTGGACTTCCCTCTCCTGCCGGAGGCCTGGCGTGGTGTGAGTGGGGTGCTGGGGTGCCGGGGTGGGTGGCATCAGGAATGTACCACGCCCCAGGAGAAACACTCACAGTCATCCAGGTGGCGCTGGGCCAGGTTAGCAAACCTGTGCTGGGTGCCAGCCCTCGTGGGCCTGACGGTGTGCGGTGCTGGGGCAGAGGGCGCAGATTGTGCCGTGAGTCACCCGGCGAGCCAAGATGCCCCTGTAAGAGCAGCCCAGCCCCCTCCGTGCCTGGCACTGTGGGAATCAGCTGCCTCTCCCCAGGCCCGGCGGGTGACCCAGCGGCAGAGTCCTGGGCTGTCCGAGGGCTCGTGCCTGGCGCCCACTGTGACTCTCAGAGATAGACCCATGAGCAGCTATGGCCATGCAGAAGGCCTCTTGGCGTCTTTCTCTCATTTCCTCACCTCCTCTCCCACCCAGAGCCCGTGCCTGCTCCTGGCCCTGAGACCAGGCCCGGCCTCTCCAGGGCTCCTGTCTGCACGGCCTGACAGACACAGGGGAGCCAGGTTTCCCTCTGGAGCATTTATTTATTTTTTTTTTTTGGTCACACCCGGCAATGCACAGGGGTTACTCCTGGCTCATGCACTCAGGAATCACTCCTGGTGGTGCTCGGGGGACCATATGGGATGCTGGGAATCGAACCCGGGTCAGTTGCGTGCAAGGCAAAAGCCCTACCCGCTGTGCTATCGCTCCATCCCCACTCTGGAGCTCTTTGGGTCTCTCTTCACCTCCCTCCCCTCACTCCCATTCAGAGGCTTCTGTGGTGGAGGGCAAAGCAGGATGGCAGGAGGCCCTCCGTGGTTCTGGTCACTTCCTCCCGGAGCCTCAGTTTCACTGTCGGTTAGAACAGGAGGAGTCACCTCCATTTCTTTTTTTTTTTGTTTGTTTGCTTGCTTGTTTGTTTTGTTTTGGGCTTAATCCTGGCTCTGTGCTTAGGGACACTGGGAATCGAACCTGGGTCAGCCACAGTCAGGCCAGCACCCTCCCCGCTGTGCTCTCTCTCCTTCATTCACTTATGGTCATTTATGGCTCACTCGCTTGCGCTTGGTTGCAAGGGCTTGGCTGGTCATTGAGTCCCGGCAGAGGGCCCCCCAGAAGGTCTGACCAAGCCCCCTTTTCACAAGGGAGCAAGTGGATTCCAAGGGGTCTTAGGATTCCTTGAGAATCACAGGGCACTGTCAGAGCAAGTAAAAGGGCCACACTCCATGCCCAGCACCTACCAGATGCTCAGGGAGAGGCAAAGACACGGATGTGGTTAAGTCTGTAGGTGGAAGACTCTCTAGAAAGAATGTAAGAAAGTGAAAGGGGAGATGGAGGCTCAGCATGGATATTGCTGCCTTCTTTGTTCTTTTTGTTCCCCCGGTGATCTCCGGGAGGGAGAGGGGCTCATGGGAGCCAGAATCTCCTAAGCCCCAGGGAAGGCTCTTGAGAGTCAGAACAGGAGTGGAGGTGTTTTTAGGGGGCGGTCTGCCTCCCAACCAGCTTGGAGCCCCCAGTGCTCATGGTGACATGGCCAAGCCCCCCCCCCCGACCCTCCCAGGGGCCAGCTTACTGTTGGCTGCAGCGGGAACAAGGTCAAAGCCTGACCCACAATTCTACAGGGCCTTGGGCTGGGCCTCCTGCAAGCCCGGGTGCCCCGGTCTCTTGGAAGGGCAGGAGGGGGCACATCCCAAAGATACACACACACACACACACACACACACACACACACACACACACACACGGCCCGCCCAGTGCCCTGCTCGCAGCCACACTGAGAGGTAGGTCTTATCAGCTGCATGTGCAGGCATCTCGGTGCCTCCAGCTGGAGGAACCGGGCCATATCAGGACCATTAGCAGGGAAACCGCATGAAAGGTGCAGGCCGGCTCTTGGTACAATTCTTGGGCTTCTCCAGCTGCCGTGGCCTGCTCTGCTCTGAGAGCTTCTGTTTCTGAGGCCGCCTCCGCTGCTCAGCAAAGCCCTCAGCATCTGGGCCAACGGCACTTACAGACACAAGACTGGGAGCAGCCCGGGGGGTGGAGGGGTGCGCTCACTGGGTGGACTCTGTCTCACAGTGCTCGGGGCCCCCAGGGGCACACTGCCCATGCCCAGGGATAGAACTCGGGGTCTTGCTCCTGCTCGGCACGTGCAGAGGGAGTACTTTACTTATTTATTTTTGCTTTGTGGTCCACATCCGGCAGTGCTTGGGGGGCTCTTCCTGGGTGGTGTTGGGGGGTCCTGCAGTGCTGAGGATGGAGGTCAGGCCACCCCCACTTAGAGCGCCCCCTCCAGTCCACTGGGTTGCCGTCCTCAGCCCAAGGTAGAGCTTCCACAGATGAGCTGCTTCCAGAACTCACACTGGTGCCTCTCCCAAGGTGACGCCAATTTTAGTCACAAGCTTCTGCAGCCTCCTCATCCCTGGCTGGGCCTGGGTCTCAAGGCTGGGGCTGAGGGGTCCCAGAAGTCCTGGAGAAACATGTTTGCATGCTTTAGTAGGAACATACTTTTAATTTTTCTTTTTTGGAGGGGGGAGTGCATACCCAACTGTGCTTCAGGCTTATTCCTGTTCTGTGCTCAGGTGCGGGGGGCCCGCCAGACCACACTCCGGCCCGTGGAGGTGGCCCTAGGATCCGTAGGTGCAAGGAGGGACCAACCGAATGAAGACACAAGACACAAGAGACAGAGTGCAGTTTAGAAACAGAGATAAAGAGACAGGACAGGACAGGACAGGACAGGACAGAACTTTATTCAGGGCAGCAGGGGTATTATATACTTTGCGATGCAGGAGACTATGCTTACATCACAGAAGGCAATTACATCACTAGGTCATATCATATATTGTTAGGAGAGTTACAGAAACTACATGTTTCATGTGCTTGATTAGTCAGTGTCAGTTACTTCTTATTCTTGGGCTAGCTGTGACAAATGTTTTCCTTTAGACAACCATACATAGCTCATAGGCTGCGGTCAGAGCAGACGCAGTACCAGATTTGCACTAGTCAGGACCCGCTTGTTCAGGGTCGCATAGGCCAAGATAACCATACATAGCACAGGCACGTAGGCCCTTGGTCAGTTAAAGGGCCAGCTTCCCACACTCAGGGATCCCTCCTGGCAGGGTTCGGGGGACCCTATGTGATGCCGGGGATTGAACCCGGGTCAGCTGCATGCAAGGCAAGCATCCTCCCTGCTGTACGTACAATCGTTCTGTCCCCGTACAAGTACCTGCTCTATCTCACAGGTACCCTGCACACTGTAGGTGCTTCCTGGGTGCTAACCACTCCCTGGGCAGCTGTCTCTGCACACAGTAGGAAGCTCCCACTTGGCAAGCTCTGGGGGCGGGTGGGTAATCCACTGTGGGCTCAGGCTGTGCACTGACCTCCTGGCATCCCACCCTGCAGCTTACTGACCGTCAAGAACCTGGAGATCTGCGCGGACCCCAGCCAGGCCTGGGTGAAGAGGATCATCCGGAAGTTGGGCAGGGGAGGAAAGATGCCGGTCTGAGACAGGGACTGGCTCCCCCTGACCGAAGCTCACGGATCCCCCCCCTCCTGCCATGGCCGCTGTTCCGTGACACTAGTCTCCGTCCCTGCAGCTGTGGCTCCCATTCACGCCTCCACACTGACACCTCAACCCCCCTCCAGCACGCTCTGTTCCCCCAACCCCTGCAGCTGGAGGGTCCGACGAGTCCTGGGCCATCACTCCCTTCCTCCCCGGCTCCCCGCAGCCCTTCAGATCTGGCCCCAGACCCGCCTCATCTCCCCTCCTGCATGGGGTCCCCAGCTCCCAGCTCCCCAAGACCTTTCTGTGCAGCCCCATCCCCGGCCCCTGCACGGCTTGCTCCTGACACACTGCACATCTGACCACCACACACCAACAGCGTCAGTCCTGGGATTATTCCGGTCTGTAGCCAAAAGCTTAAAAGGGGGCGAAGGACGCGTGTGCAGTGAGGAGAGAGGAGGGACCACTATGGGAATGATCACTCTGGACAAGAACTGTGCTAGAAGGAGGTAAAGTGAGACGTGTGACGGCCTTTCCGTCACAGTACTGCAGGTCACAGTACCTAAATACCTAAAAGGGGAGAAATCGGGGGAAGAGAGAGAGAGACAGAGAGACAGAGAGGCAGGCTGGGGGAGTGGGGCGTAGGGGTGACGGAAGGGAAACTGGGGACACTGGTGGTGGGAAATGTACACTGGTGAAGGGACGGGTGTTGGAACATTGTATGACTGAAGCCCAATCATGAACAACTTTGTAACTGTGTGTCTCATGGAGATTCAATAAATTCTTTTTTAAAAAAAAGTGGCCCAAACTTGCCTTTGGCTCTGCAACCTTCCCACCCCTGGACACTGTGATTCGTTCTCCCTCGAGGGACGCCTGGACACAAACTTGTGAGCAGGCTGGCCGGGGGTTCCGGGAGTGGGGACAGGCCTGGGAAATGAGGAAACGGTTGTGTGGTGGGAACAGGAAGCCCAGACATCGGCCCACTGCCCCTCGCTCCTTCCCCGGCAGGTCTAGAGCCTCCTCCCTCGTCAGCCACTCCTCATCCACTAACCACCCCACCTGGTCCTTTCAAGGGGGGCCAGAAGGACAAGGGGAGGGAATCGGGCTGCAGAGACCCCACCTGGTCTCTGTGGCTTGGGCCCACCCCGTCTGTGCCTCCTCCTGGGGAGATCTTCCACGTTCCTGGTCAGGGGATGACCTCCGGGCCAGTCCTCTACGGAGCCAGGCTGCCCAGCTCATGCCCTGCCCTCCTGGTCCTGTCCATCTTCCAGCAGGCGGAGAAAGAGAACAGGAGCTTGGGGTGGGGGCCGGAAGGGGAAGGTGCTCATCTCATTGACCCGTGCACCCTTGACACAACTTGGTCACGTGGCCGCTCTGAGTGCAGGGGAGGCTGGGAACTGCTCCTGGTGTCCAGGGGGAAGAGGAGTTTGGGGAGCAACTGCTTCACTTGATCCTGAGCCCTCCACCCCCGGGGTCGTCCAGGCAACCGCATCCAAAGGTCCTGGTTACAGCTCACCGTGCCAGAGCAAGGAACAACCCAGTGCTCTGGTGTGTCTCCATTTCCTCATTCCAGGAACGTCTCAGCCCCCTCGGTCTCTGCCCCACGTTCACATCCATCTTCAAGAGCCTGTTTCAGCAGCCAGAGCCATAGTACACCAGCACTGCCAGGAGTAATACCTGAGTGCAGAGCCAGGAGGAAGCCCTGAGCATCGCCAGGTGTGGGTCGAATACAGAGAGAGAGAGAGAGAGAGAGAGAGAGAGAGAGAGAATATGACTCTCCCGGGAATGCTCTCTCCACTCTGCCTGCAACATGCTCATCTGCTTCTGAAAAACCCTGTTTATTAATAATATATTTTTTTAATTTTTACTAGTGAAACACCATGAGGTACAGTTGTAGACCTACAAATTTTTGTGCTTGGGTTTCAATTATACAATGATCAAATACCCATCCCTCCACCAGTGCCCATTTCCCACCACCACGGATCCCAGTATCCCTCCCACCCCCCACCCCCCGATCCCACACCTCTGTGGCAGGGCATTCCCTTTTGTTCTCTCTCTCCTTATGGGTGTTGTGGTTTGCAAAAGAGGCATTGAGTGGCAATCATTTTCTATAGTCTATAGTAGTCTATTGTCTACTTTCAGCATGCATCTCCCACTCTGGGAGGATCCTCTGAACACCCTTTGCTTGGTGCTCCCTTCTCTATCTGAGCTGCCTTTTCCCCTAGCATGTGCGGCTGGCCTCCAAGCCATGGAGTGAACCTCCTGGTACTTATCTTGGCTCTTCTTGGGTGTTAGTCTCCTATTTTGTTAGTTTATGTTCCTCAGATGAATGCAATCTTTCTGTTTCTGTCCCTCCCTTTCTGACTCATTTCGCTTAGCATAATACTTTCCATGTAGTACCACTTGTATGTAAATTTCATGACTTCATCTTTTCTAATAGCTACATAGTACTCCACTGTGTAGATGTAACCAAAGTTTCATTAACCAGTCATCTGTTCTCGGGCACTAGGGTTTTTCCAGATTTTGGCTATTGTGAACAGTGCAGCAATGAACATAGACGTGCAGATGTCATTTCGACTATACTTTTTTGCCTCTCTGGGATATATTCCCAGGAGTGGTATTGCTGGGTCAAATGGGAGCTCAATCTCTAATTTTTTGAGAATTGTCCATACGGTTTTCCAAAAGGGCTGAACCAGTCAGCATTCCCACCAGCAGTGAAGGAGGGTCACTTTCTTACCACATCTGCGCCAACACTGGTTGCTTTTGTTCTTCTGGATTGGGCCTTTTAATAATATTAATATTAACAAACACTGATGTTTTCTGTTCAGACTCGACACTCCCCGTCCAGTCTGGCTCGGCGGCACCAGCTGTCCAAGAACGTGGCACGGGAGCTGTGGAAGGGCACAGGACAGGGAGTAGGCAGCCTCACCTGCTGGGAGAACCTATTGCCTTGGAGCCTCAGTTTCCCCCTGTGTGGAGAGGGAGTGATGAAAGCCCCTCTCTGTGAACACGGTTAGTGGAACCCCACGAGAAGAGCTGGGACGGGAGGTCCAGCCACCGCACAGCTGGCCTGAGAAGACATTCAGTGGCCAATAAGCTCGAAGAAAGGTGTGAGTTGACCTCCCAGCTCAGTGGAGCATGTACAGCAGGTCCCGTGCGGGTCACCGGGCACCCACTAGGATGGACATTGTTGGGTGTCAGGGGTGGCCAGAGTGTGAAGAAGGTGGAGCCCCAGTGCCAGGGTGATTGATAGGAATGTAAACATGAGGGTGTTCTGGGAATCTGAAGGACAGTTCCTTAAAACATGCAAAGGAGATTTAGGCTGGGGTCTAACAATCCCATTTCTGGACATCTTCCCCCCATAGGTGAAGCTGTCCTTCAATTCCATACCCCTTGACTGGAATCCCTATAGCAAGCACTGAAGGCAGAGCACCCTTTGGGTGAAAAGAATTCCCCTTCAACACATAAAATCAAACACTTCTGTTGTTACACAAGTTATTCCCATTCTGAAGCCCCTACTGCTGCCATCATAGGGAGTCATGCTTTCATATTTTTCACTCTTCTCTTATTTTTCTTTCCTTTTTTTTTGGCCCAGCCGACCCGAGTTCGATTCCTCAGCCCCTCTCTGAAAACCCGGCAAGCTACTGAGAGTATCTCGCTCGCTCGCATGGCAAAGCCTGGCAAGCTACCCGTGATGTATTCCATGTGCGAAACACAGTAACAACAAAGTCTCACAATGGAGACGTTACTGGGACCACTCCAGCAAATCCATGAACAACAGGAGGACAGTGCTACAGTGCTACCCCCCAAAGAACTGGAAGAAGAGAGTACCAAAAAATAGCTTTGAGTCTTCATTCTCCCACACTCAGAGGGTACAAAGAACCAAGTATCTGAGCAGAATGAATAAACCAATGTGATCTCTCCAGACTATTAAAAGAAAAGAAAATTCTGAAATAGACTCTAACAGGGGCTGAACTTTGAAGGATGATACTAACTGAAATAAGCCAGTCATGTAAGAATGAAAGATTGTATGAAACTTAGAGGGGTCTGAATGACAGAGAAAGGACTCTGGGGGTGGGGGGCACTTTTTGTTTATTTTTCCGAATACAGTTTCAGTTTCGCAAGATGAAAAAGTTTTGGAGACGGTGGTGGTGGTCCAGCTGACGTAATCACGTGAATATGTTTTACTGCAGCTGGACTGTAGGCTCAGAAATGGTTCAGAGGGTGGATTTGGGGGGAGGGCCCCCCAGCTATGCTGGGGCTGGCCAGGGCCACTCCTAGCACGCTGGACTTGTTTGGGCCTGACAGTTTTGTGCTTGAGTCCAGGGGTGCTGCATTCGAGGGGAGTGGGGGGCGGGGGGAGCATGCAGTGCCAGAGACCAGACTGCCCCCAGACGGTAAAGTTCACATCAGGTGTAAGCTGCCACAGTAGAGGATGTGGCCTGGCCCATGCCCAGAGGTGATGAGGGCAGCCCTCCCAATTATCCGGAAAAGTGAGCTGGGGGCTGGAGCAAATGTTTGCTTTGCATGCAGCCAACCCGGATTCAATCCCCAGCATCCCACATGGTCCCCCAAGCACGGCCAGGAGTCATTGCTGAGTGCAGAGGCAGAGGTAAGCCCTGAGCAACATTGGGTGTGCCCCCCCCCAAAAGAAACGAGTGAGCTGAATAGATTTGGGTGTCAAAGGGAGTAAATAAGACTGTCTCCCTCAGTAGGGCCCCTTACTGCATGCCTGCTCCCTCCAACCATCCTAGTGGCCCAGGGTTTCCCTGTGCTCCCCACTCTGGCCTTCACCGCAGTTTCTGTTCTGTTCCCAGGACCGGGGGAGCCCCTGGTGTACCCAAGGACAGTGCAGACTGCCTGTTCCCCTGGGCATTCAGGCGGGCTCTGCCGTGAGGATAGTGTGGGCAGGGCTTGGGCACGGCTCCCCAAGTCCCCTCAAACCTCAAGGAAGGGGCTCAAGCAATAGCATAGTGGGTAGGGCATTTGCCTTGCATGAGGCT